CGCAGCCAAACGTCAAAGGGCAAAGAGCGCCGGGAGTCACTGCCGTGCCCCTCGCATGTGTGTGTGTGCAGCTTTTTTCTTTTTCTATGCAATGTCTTTTTAAAAAAAACTCCAAGAATTCTAAATATCTCACGATCAAACCAGGGCCGAGGCACACCTCGCTCTGAAATCTTGACTTCAGCTGCAGCCGAGCGTGGAGGATCCTCTCTCCCCGTCTCTAAATAATGAAGTACGACTACTGCATCGCGTCGAGAAACAAAACATACCGGGAGGTGAAAGACAGGCATAGGGTGGAAGAAAGAAATGAAGCAAGAGAGGCATGAAATAATAAGTAGTATGGGAAACCGGGAAGGGAGGAGAATATACTGGGCACCAAGATGAAAAATTCATAGGCGGCTCGCGGCAGACAGACCCCCCATCAGGAAGTGATTCAGTGTCTGGCTGCCGATACCGAATGTGGGTCAGCGGAGGAGGAGGAGAATCGTCGGATGACAGACAGATAAGGAAAACCATCAACAGTCTGTACCTGCTGGAAAGGCCTCACAGAAAACAAGCCCCGTGATTGGCGCGTATTTGCAGTTGAGATTTTATTTAAGCGCGACTCCGCCTCTAATCCCGGCTTCAGCGACTCGCTGACGGAAGGGAATTGCCCCCTCGTCTTTAACGCAGATGGCAAAGTTAATACTCATTAAATCCACATCATTTAAAGTAGTCATCTTCTAATTATCTGGCACTCTGAGGCGCTGCGTGGCTTCAAGGGTGGCCGCATCAGTCAGCCAGAGTGAAATATATCAGGAAATACTCAAGTTTGGTGCACAGACACTCAAGCTAATCAGAGAATATATCTGAACAACATCAAGTGTTTCTCAACAGGTTAAAATGCTGCCAGTCCAACACATCTAAAAAATGAGTAATCTAAAATCTTCTAAATGCATGTATGATAACAAACAGATGCTATTATTATTATTAAATTACTTTCCGTTATTTGTTCAAGAATGTGGTTTTTCAATTAAAGAGCATATCAATAGAACCCAAGATATGATGCTGAGCAATTAAATCATTTGCACATTTCTGTATCTCTCTTATATATTCTTGTAAATTGTGTTGACTTTCTTCTATATTATATTTTTATCTTATTTTACCTTCATTTTATACAGTACCCTAATATTCTGTGTTGTCTTTTTGCTTTGTTTGCCCCCTTTGTTGAATATTCATGCTGCTGTAACACCTGAACTTCCCTCTTGGGATTAATAAAGTCAGTCTAAGTCTAGATCATGACCACTTTCTTGCAGATGTGCCGGCGTTACTTCTCCAGTGTCCTTTACAGGGCATAACTGTGTAAATGGGTTCCCAGGAGCTTCAGCAAAAAGCAACTGGACTTCTCTTTTAGGTTCTTCAAGCCTTCTAATTCAAAAACCTAAAGGGGAAGTCCAGTTTCCTTTTACTAAAACTCCCCGGATTAGCAAAACCTGAGAATCTAGACACACCAGCCTTCCAGGACCTTATCATTATTTGTCTTCTTGCAGGACTTTTGAAGTTTATATATACCAGCGTCCATTTATTTTACAATAATAGCTACATACAATAGTAGCACCATAGCACATTAGCTTCCCTTTGCCTCGCTAGACTTAAAAATCCTTTTACAGGAGGTTTGACAGCAGATCATTCGCCAGATGAATCGCTCAAATCAACAATCCCAAAGTAAGCATCCCAAAAAGTACGTTTTCTATTTTACCTTAATGGTGCGTTCACTTTTGTCAAATTTAATGAAGAAATAATGCTTTCAAACTACGAGACCACGCTCTCGAGTAAAGTGAAGGAAAGTAATTTTATGCATAATTAGCACGCTAGCTCTATTAGCAGGATGTAGCGCATCGACATACAGGAACAACGTAAGTGGGCACGATTACACAAAAATTCAGGGCAGCGCAAAGTATAGCAAACGTACATCGACGGGGAATAAAAATATTCTAAACCGACCAAAGGAATTCGTGCATAATCCAGAGATTAATCAACCTGTCATTACTTCATGAATGGAGGAAATGAAAATACCAGAAAACCTGAGGAGGAACAACACGAGGTGCAGATCTGCTGCAGTTTTCTGTTCATACAGATCTTTTAGCACGCGAGCTCCACTGTGCAGCTGCTAGCAAGGCAACAGTTGAGCTTTGAACACATCAGGCCTGTAGATATCAACATGATGATGAAGACACTTGCTTAAAGGCGTCCACGGGCAGATTGTTGGGTAACTTCCTCTGACCTGCAGACCACAGCTTTGAGCAGCCACCTCCACAATAAAGATCTTGTGATCCGCTCACATTCCAACCAAAGCATGCAAGACAAATTGTCCCTGACCTCACGGACAGAAACCTCAGGCCGACAGTCCCGGCTCAATCTCACTGCACACTTGGGTTTATCAGGTGAGTGTGACAGCTTCTACAACCACACTGCATCAACTGACACCACGTTTCTGGTACTGATTATCCTCACTGGCAACCAAACTTTTAATTATTTTCTCTATTGATCGGAATAAAAAGTCAGAAAACGTTGAAAGATCTGTGTTTCCTAAAGTCCCAGATGACGTCCTCACATGTCTTGTTTGGTTTACTGCCATAGAGGAGAAAAGAAAGCAGAACATTTTTGATTTCGTATTTTCTTTTTAAGAGTTACTTAAACCAATAAATCAATGCTGAAAACAGTTGGCGACTAATCTAGCAGCTGGCAACTCATCAATTAACTGATTAATCAATGCAGCTCCAGCCTTGTGCAGATGTTAGTGACGAGGAACTGGCTGGATTCAAGAGATGCATCAAAGAGCCTTTAAATCTACCTGTATAGTCGTCTGCAATAACTCCTTGGCTTCTTACCAGTTTCCAAGAAAACTCAGTGACGTTAAGACTCCACAAACTACAAACACTTATTTTATCAGTCAGTTTTCCCATGCTGGTGTTGTAGTTTGTAGATGCGAGCAGCCAATCAAACTCGTTAGAAAATGATGTTAAAGAGAAGAGACAAGTTTCAGGAGCTCGACACACTGTTCTTGAATTGATAACACTAAACAACGAAACAAACACTGCTGGTGAACTGTTGCTATGTGTTAAATCATAGGCCCAGATAATACAATGAGAGCTGGACATGTATCAGTACTTTATCAGAAAACTGATCAACAGATTGTTTGTTCTTCACCTAAATGGATTAGATGCAAACAGACAAACTCCAAGAGTGCTCCCTCCCTGGATCATACACAGCCTCTCATATCCCTTCAAAATAAAACCCCTTTTTGCAATCGCTCCCCATGTGACTTCCATGCAGGTCTCCTAAGGCAAGCTAGTCCTGCAGGCCTCTGATGGATGCTGCTGCAAGATTAAAAACACCCATAACCTCATGTCTCCCACCTCTAAGTGATGCCCGCCTCGCATCCAGCTCTGCAGGATCCTCAACTGGTGACACCAGGGTCTGATCAGAACCTTAAACCTCCGGCAGCTTTACCCTGGTTGATGTCTGTGTGCTTCTGGGATTTACCTTTGTCCATATTTACTTCTTTATATATGTGTAAATGTAGTTAAATGTGCGTTTTCCTTCATTGTTGTGTTAACAGTAAAAAATTATTACGAGTAATTTGATAAATAGGCTTAAATTCAACCATTTTCTTCTGGTCCTTATTAAAAATATGTGATTAAAACAGTCAATAATCATTACTAGAGACTGAAATAAGACATTTTTTATTACAATAACTGTACTGTGTCGCAGTACAGTCAAATTAGGCTTCTCTGTGTATCTTCCAGCAAAGTGGAGCTGAATCATGTGCTTCCCAGCTTGAGGACAGCAAACATCCAAAGGGGGCAAAAAGGGACCAAAGCACACTGATTAATTCACCGTCTTAAACTGTGCAAACACACTAACATCTTTGAGTTGAAGCTTGTGAATTAGCTGAGCGGAGACTCGTCGGTGGTAGACGATCCCTCACGCTCAGAAGCTGAAGGACACTGCCCGACTCTCTGCGCCACGTGTTGCCTCCATCAGGAGCTCGTCGCTCGCCTGGAACTATTCCTGTCGGCTCGCGGAGAGTTAAGGCCGATTAAACCGAGTCGCCAAACGGAGTGACAGCGTGATGGAACGGCCGGACTGCAGCTCGTACATCCACGAGTCATTACGGCTGAATGCGGAGTCTAAATGCGGACGCATAATCTGACCACTAACTGCACCTTGATAATGGAAAAACACACACATATGTAGCTGCACAACCTCACACAACCCCAATCAGCGACCTTAAGTCCACCTAAAAATAACCGCAGCATGGAAAAGTGCATTCCCAAGTCAGAATAATGGGATGTTTTTCTTTTCCTACCCCTCTGACATTTTGCAGAATTCGCATTAAGCCCAGGAAAAGGACAAAATGCTTCTTTATTTAAAAAAATAATAATAAAAAAGTCCTCCGTGTCAAACTGGAAATGATCCTCAGTGAGACAGAAATCCAGCAGCTCACCAGGCAGCGATGCACAGATACATAAATACGAGTGTAGAAATAGACACGCTGCTTACTTCACCCACTGCAGGCCGCATTCTGCCCGGCAGGCAGCTGCTGAGGGGTATTTTTGGGCAGAACACACACACAAAGACATGCACAGACACACACAAGCTCACACACACAGATGACTCAAAACAGTAGGAATAAAGTGAAGCCAAAGGTTAGAGAACGTCTTGCATGGTGACCGTGGGAGTGCTGACCTCATGCCACGGTGTGTGTGTGTGTTGTGTGGTTTTGTGTGTGTGTCTGTGACAGCCAGACAACACCTTCAAACTCCAAACAAACACCTCATTGCACATGGCTGCCTCAAACATCTGTCCACTTTAATAACTCGTCCCCTTGAGCCTGACAGAGCAGGTCTGTGTGTGTGTGTGTGTGTGTGTGTGTGTGACAGCTCCCATCAGCGTGGCCGTTTGTTTGTTTGTTTGTTTGTGTGTTTGTCGGGACAGAGGGAGGGAGGAAGTGTACTTACGACAGTCCTGTTCGTCGGAGTCGTCCTCGCAGTCGTTGTCTCCGTCGCACACCCAGGAGCGGCGGATGCACTTGCCGTTGTCGCAGTGGAAGTCGAGTGGCGAGCAGGTGGGGAGCACTGCAGGTAAACAAGAACAACACATTTGTCAGCAGGAACAAACAACAACAAAACAAACACTGTGTGCAACAGAGAGGAGAGGAGCACTTCTAGGTTTTTTCCTTCTACTTTTTATGACATTTTCTGCTTTGCTTCATCGTCTTAAACGTTATTTTCCTTCAGCTTTTACACATTAGTGCTGCTTCCTATCACGTCTCGTCGCACGCTGCAGGAATCAGTTATGTTTAAGTGCATTCTTACATGATGTGCAACAGACACTGTGATGTCAGATAACCTTTCAAAACAGCTGGATTTTATCAGTTTGGGAAGTTTAGCTCGTCCACATTCCCAAAAGTTATGCTTTTTTTGTATCTTCCAGGGAGAAAACAACATGTTTGGCCTCCATCCATGATTTAAATCAGTGTGTGCTCATCATGAAATGCATGTTAAAGGTGGAGTCTATTTGATATTTAGCTGGTTAGCATGTACAGATAGTAACCATCGCAAAGATTTACTGTCCTTTTGCTCCGACTTGTCTCCGATTTATTCGCTGCATTTGACAAAAAACTCTCACTGGCTGTACCTTTAAATTAAACTGTACCCCTAAAGGTTTAAATCCTGTGTCGCATCATGAAAAAGTCTTAAAAAAATCAACAGTAGCTCATGAGATTGTATGTGCAACAAGTCTAAACACAAGTAGCTGCACGTAAACTTAACGTAGATTTAAAATATGGTCCAAAACTGGCTCATTTACTTCCCAGTCCTGCTCTTAACATCAAGCTTCAGATGAAAATGAGCCATTCTGGCACTTTTATTTTGACAATAACATGTAAATTAGCATATTGGCCTCATGATAAATGATAAATGAGTTGACTTATTGAAATCTACTAGAAAAACTCCACAAATTTGTTGGTTTCTTAGCTTCAGAAATACCAACATGTGTCTGTTTTTTATCGTCCACTGTGGCCGACAGTCTTTGTGATTTGGCACATTGCTTCCACAAAACATGCAATTTAAAAATGTCAAATTGGACCCTGGGAAGCTTCAACCGGCATTTGTTTGTAGTATTTCTGAACATTATCTCGACCAATAAATGGACTAGTCAAAAAATAATCTGCAGATTATTCCACTGAAAAACAAGAAGGTCACTCGTCCTCCGTCAAGGCGGAGGGGGGGCAAAAGTGATCTGGATTTGCACCAGTGTCCAAAAGGTTTCTCTTCTGCCTCTGCCCCACCTCTGCACAAAGGTCCGTGAAATTCGACCTTGTAGTTTTTTGAACGAAGAGCACGGATCACATCGCTGATCACAGCCCAGTTAGCCAGACACGGATATGAAGCCTTCGCTGATTTCACACCAGAGGTTTGACGGCAGCGTAGATGCAGCAGGATTTATTCTGCAGCCTGAACCGGACCCACGCATCCTCCTCTCTCCCACCTTCTTACCAGCTCAGCTCAGCGCATTCCTCCTTAACTTCATATCCGCTCTAAGTGCAGCTACTCGCTATCTAAGCAGAGCCCGAATGACTGGCCCTTTGTCATCTGCAGACAGAGCTAATTTAATTACTGGCCAGAGAGGGACGGAGGAGGGGGGAGGCGGGTGGGGAGGGAGAGGGAAGGGGAAGGGAGGCGAGGGAGCAGCTACTCCTTACGCTCCCTCCAGCCTGTCAATAGCAGATATGAAATATTGACCGAGCAACGCAGACTTTATGAAAAATGTATGACGTCACGCGCCGAGTTAAGCAGCGAGGCAGACAAGTCAGGGCTGAGTGAGTGGATTACAGAAGTGTGTGTGTGTGAGTGTGTGTGTGTGTGTGTCGGGGTGTGGCTCCGGTCTCCAGGGGGAGTAAAGCCCCACTGACCCACATACCCCTGCATGGATACTGCATTATTCAGGGAGAAACACAAAGAGAGGCCGAGATGCACAAGCAAAGGGAGCTGTCTGGGTGTGACCTCTGGTTCTGCTCACCTTCTGATGAACTCCTTCTGTCTGAATTAGGCGACCCCATGCGTAGATTGGCTTAATGTGCAAATGTTATGCATCTCTGCAAACAATTATCTGAATCATAGCATCGGTTTCTTTATTTTTTTGTCATTCCAGGAAGCCAGGAGGGTGTGAAACCAAACGTGCAGGGATGTATTATGTCGTCTCATTTTAGTGGAGTTGTGAACACAGATTGTGTTGGAAACTTTCCCAAGTGGTGCATTCAAAGATGTTTGAAGTATCTAAAGGTTTGGGTGTCTGGTTTTCATCTTCATGATGCAGTGAGATGTTTCATGGCCAACAATCAGCAGATTAACAAAAACAATTTTAAAAAATAGCATCCGTTGGAGCACTAAGCTTTAAAATACAAACTAATTAATGGTCTAAACTCAAAAACCTGCCGGCATGTTTGACAGGCATGTTTGTTTATTTATTTATTTAGTTTAAATGGCCAAAATTACACTTCTGGTCATAGCAAGAAGCTGTGAAAGCAGGAAAAATTGTCTGATTTACAACTGTTCATCAGTCTTTGAACTAATTATGTTGACTTCTGTTTAAAAAATAAACAAATAAATAAATGCAGGCAATCAGTATTCCCTTTTTCTACAGGTCTCATTTAAATTTGTTTCCATAAATAAATCAAATTATGTAAATATATAAATAAACAGAATAAAAAATATGCACTAATTGTTGCATCCAAGAAGCTTTTAGTGACTCAGCTGCCAACGGCCACAAGAGACTTTTCGGTTGAACTGCAGGCAGTGTTTCCACCGAGCAGCTCGGAGACAAGGATGGAAGATAATTAAAAGTGAAAGTAATATAATTGTAAAGTATGTAGAACCACCTTTTTCTCTCCCAGAGGGTACTTAGGTACTTGTTGATTCCATTTTCTTTTAGTTTTTAGAAAAAGACCAATTCAAGAAATTCAACTAACATTTTCTTTATGGTTTCAAGATTTATGGCGTTATAACGGTGTCATACTGCACAAAATACATGTTCTACTTCAAGTCATGATTGTGCAGTTTCCATAGAGGTGCAGGACTTTGTGTTACAGTCAGAAATGAGCCGGCTGTGAGCAAAAATGTGAGCGCTTGAGTTTCTGCTCAGCTGCATTCTGGACTGCCGACAAGTACTAAGGATTTCCATTAATGAGAAGTAGGACAGTCATTATTTTTTCATCTCGACTTGACCACAGGCTCTATTTCTAAAGAGCATCAGACTCTCTTTTTTTATTTTCTTCTCTTTAATCTACCTGGTGTTCTTGACCCAGCGCTGTGCCCCCTATTTCTGCATTTACAACTTTAAAGAGTCCCACTTTAAGTTTACGGCACGACTGCAAAATCCTCCCTCACAAGACAAAGCTGAGCCTGAACAAAACAAGGGTCCCAGATAATAAGCTGGAACTCGACAGTTAGTGAAATTCGCACAGATTTATTATCTCCTACAGGATTTCCCCTGATAGCCGAGAGTCTGTCATCACCTGCGCGCCGTCCAGAGAGCGAAGCGGTTTGATGCATTCTGGATGCATCTCTGACCAGGCGTCAGCAGATTTACGGCCTCAAACGCCAACAAAAGAGGAAAAAACTCTGCTTCCCGACGTCAATAAATAATTCAGCTTATCTGAAGGAGCGAGCGCGGCGTGAACATGCACACACACAAAAAAAAACACAAATGCAGACATAAGCAAACCGCTGCTGAATAAACACACACTGCAGAACTGTTTAGGAACACAAATTGGGAGGGATACAAAATGTATGCAAATAAGAAACAAGCCTCTCTCTTGCATAAAGGCAGCGGAGGTGAGGCCTGCTCCCGGTATCAGGTGGATCAGCAGGGAGCATGCTGGGAAGGTTGATGAGGTCTCTGGGCGCTTTGATCTCTCTTATCACGCCGATTCTGCTCAGCTCAGCGCTGCTCTTCTCGCTACCGCAGCATTCCTCTGAGGCCGACGCACATTCATCAACAACAGCGCTAACCACCGTGGGCTGTTTGTTGCTTTTCAGGAATCACTTCACCTGCCTCGCTCTCGCTCACATGTTGAGCAGTTGATAGCGGCGTGTGGACGTGTTACAAGTTCATAATAAAGTCCAGAACAGAATTACGCTTCAGCTAAAAACCGCATCAAACACGACTCGTCACGACAGGTGCACAACACATTGCACTGTGGTGGATTTCCTGCTGCCGTGGTTTTCAATTAGTCACGTATTACCGTCGTCCACATCCTCTCTGGCACGCTCGCACAACAATAGCAGCTGATGCACAGTCATCTTTCCTGTTTTCGGTTGTTTGGATAGCTCATTCAACGCCCTAACTGACATTTCGAGGTGATAAAGTAGCAGAAAAGCTTCGCCTCAGTCACGCCCCGGAGCCTTTCCAAACTGCTCCTCCTGACGAGTGCGTCCTGACGAGTGCGGCTAAGTTCACATGTGTCCGAGCACGCAGACGTCCTGACCTTCACCGATGAGCTTTTCTCATCCGAGCTCCAGAATTCCCACTTGCGTTCCAGCGGTCATTCCCACACAAACGCACACAATCTGCAAGTCTCGTCATCACAAGTCGCTCTCCCGTTCAGAAACCTGACAGCGAGCGACAGTGATCACGTATGATTCATAAATCATAAAGAGTCAACAAGCATTAAACTTTTATTACAAGACTTTTGGGTTTTGTGGGGAAAGGAAATCTAAGCTTAAAAATGTTTTATTTTTAGCAAAATCACTTGCCTCTCTCCACAAACATCCGCTAATATAAATAAAGTAATTTGAACAAACTAGATTCTGTAAAAAACAAAAAATTCTGGGTTTCCCGGCGCAACCGTGAAGCCATTAATGACTCAGCTGTGAACAGAAGTATTGTGATAAAAATTCAGAGACTTTTAGAGCTGAACTGGGTTGAACTGCAGGCTGTGCTGATGAAAAGCAGCATGGAATCAAATTAAAAATACAAGGAGTAAAACATCTACAGATTATTTTTCCAGACTTGCTAACAGCTGTGAGAACTTGGACAGATGTTGTACACTCCAGATTTTTTTTTCGATTTTTGT